CAGCAAGTCTGGACGGCAAATAAAGTATTGGGCTGAAAAGCGCAGGCGGCAGGGGCTCTGGGAGCTGGGAGAAACGTTTGACTGTGCGACGGACCGAGGAAAATCTCCTCGGTGTCAGATCCAACCAAGGCTCTCAGCCTGTTCCACTGCCCTTGAAAACTCGGCCGGTGGATCTTACCAGTCCCTCCACTAGAAACAATCGAAACCAATGTCGAACCTGGGCAGTTGACAGTGTTAGAAGAAGTGGGCGTTGCAACGAGAATGAGGCACTTATTTGAGGTAGAGCACAAGCCAAACCATTTTGAGGCCGTCCGCTTCCAGAACGACCTACGGTGTCGATTGTCTCAAATTGAGCCTGTTGTGAGATGTTCAAGCGTCCGATACCCGTATCTTCTCATCCAACGGACCAGATTAGTCCCTCTTCCGCCACAAAGTTTGAAGTTTGAACACCCCATTGCACATGCTGTGTTTCTTCAAACTTCATCGGTCTTCCGTTGTTGTTTCGAAGTTTCGTCCTGGCCCGCTTGTTGGTGATAGGGTGGTGATAGGATGAGGCCCAGACTCACTGAGAGCTAGCCGGCTGTAGCATGAGACTGGCCTGCTAGAAGCAGCGCAAGCTCTGAACCGCAGAGGATAAAAATCTGAGGGTGGCATGAGCAAAGCCAGTGGCGGAAAGTTTCGGTGCACGCAATGTGCCTTGGAGGTTCCTTTTGAGCACTTTGGGCGGAGGCCACCGTTTGGCGAAGGAGTGGTGTAAGTTGCGAGCTATCGTTGCACCTCCTGTGTTGCATGCCAATATGTTCTTGATTGGTTGCTTTCATCCTCTGATTGTGAAGAGGTGAAAGGATTTCTTGGATGCTACTCTTCCGCCAGCACCAGTCTAAAAGTGGGCGATGTATGCTGCTTTGTGCAGTTGTCAAGCAAATGCCGCTGATAAATTCAGAATGTTGATTAGAAGCAAGTTGATTCCAAGTCTTGTTTGAGTCTCGGGCTTTATTCATAAAGTTTGGCAGTAATTGTGCAATGCCTGCTTAGACAAAGCGGCACCTTATTTTGCCCGATACATGCTTGGAAGTCAGGCGCCATGTCGTCGTTCAAAGCATGATTGGTGTAATTTAGGAAAATTCTTTACGATCAGAAGTCTGGCGCGAATAAGTAGGCACTCCTTTGGCATCTTTTCAGTCCCTTCTTTGGGGCTCCTTTGACAATGAGCCCGTCAATTCTCAATCTCACTTTTTAAGGTACGTCCTGATCTACACACGCGGATACTGATTGTTGAACACACCTTTGTTTGAAGGCTGTGCTTGAGCTTAGAGGTTTGGTGGCCCGGTTTGCCTATGTATCTTGACGTCTCTTCTCAAATACAGTTTCCTTGAAGATGCATACACTCGACGGGACCCTTTCTCCAGCAAGGCGACGCCTCTTTTCTTAGGAGGGGTCTGCAAAATTTGTTCCAAAACCGTGTGCCGTATGCAGTCCTGTAGTATCTTCTACTCTTCTCGATTTTGTGTAGAGTGTGCATCTCAAAACATTGAAGCGTTCCCCGCTGAAGTTCAGAAGGATGTCGTCATTCCGGCTCCATAAGCGACGACCCAGTCTAAAACCGTAGCCCATTCTGGTAGGGCTTGAAGCATTCATGAAAGAGCACACGACCCAATACTTGATGAAACATTTGTGTTCAGATCGTCAACGCAACAGAGACGTCCAGGAAGAGCAGTTTTGTCGAATGCAAAAGTCGGTCAGCCAGCACGTCCGGTTTGGATCTCTCAACAGCAATATGTGCCAGCTGAATTGGCTTCATTCATACATTGCTTGCGCATGAGTCAAGGGATAGAATGGACATTGGATTTTATACTTGGGCACAGGCCGCGCTGGCTTGGCGGCGCCCCTTATCGAGCCATGAGTTGACCATATGATCATCTGAATCTTTCAAGTTTAGCCGCGGCTCTCAGATTGGGTGTGGGCAGGCTCATAAGTGCCTGTTGGTAGCCAGACGGTATAATGATCAATGTTGGCCACAAGCACCGGTGAAGCTCGTATGCACCCGGTGTTGATCTCGACCAGCTATGTATCGTGTACGGTAAATGTCACACACGCGGCTGCGTGTTCAAGGCCAAAGTTCCATTTTAGTAGAAAATTGACATCATTGCAGACATATGGCTAGATGCGTCTGTGCAGCCAGCATAGCTTTGTAGGATCATGCAGTGCCATGCGATCAAAGAGAAAAGAGCTAGGCTCGAAAAGACTCGCACCGTAGATACCTCGTGTATAGCACATGATGCAGATGCCCGGGGCCGGCGCAAGCAATACGCGGTTGATGCTTATAATTAAGTTCGAACGCGTCGGACAGGTGCATTTAAGCAGGCTCCATACAAGCTAGTATACTAGCATGCGTATATCTGATCGATCAAATTCCGGTGTTTGGCATATGGCAACCCGAGGGCCGCCGTCTTGACAAGTAACAGGACGTAGGTGTACGGTAGGCACCCATGTACGTCACAATTCGATTGACAATTCAAATCAATCGCATTGTTTGGTGCTACAGTAGACTCGTCTATCCTATGCATGCCATCGGAAGCAGAAATTCAGCTATCATGTACATGCACAGGACGCACAGAGGAGACACAAAAGCGGGGGTTGGCGCTGTGACAAGTATGCCTTTGACGCCGTGATATGAAGACCTTGTCAATAGCTACATGTCATCGTAATCATCATCCACCCCGTCTAGAGTTTGAGCACCCGCAGCAGGCGCCCTTTGGTGCTCCTGTATCGCCTTTTCGAGAAGCTGATTTTGCAGATCTGACTCAGCCGCACTTCTTGCTGCAGAACCATTCCCCTCTACTTCGTCTCGGGCAGTATCTACAGGCTGTGAGTTAAGATCAAAAGAGTTTTGCACCTCGACTCGTCGCTCCCCTTCAACCTGGCCGTCCTTCTTCTTTTTTCTGCTCGTTTGTCGTTTGAGCGCACCTGAGCCGTCTGCTTTGCCTCTACGTGGTAGCTTCTGCAGAAAAACCGCCTGTAGTCAACACCTTTCCAACCCTTGAAGGGTGAACACACATCGTTGGAACGAACAAGCCTGAATATCTGCACTTGAAGCCTCGAGAACTGCCAGAAACTCTTGGAAGCCTCCAGTGATTGCGACGTACACAGCACTTGCCAACAATCAACGAATGCTCCCAAGTTACGTCGACTTACACAAGCTTTCCCCTCGTTCGAAGCACCCGCCTCTTCGTCCGCCCCCTCTTCCTCATCTTTCCTGCAACATAAAATCAAAGCGTTTGATGTTCTGGCCCATGAGGAGTATCAAACACCTCTAGCGGACCACTTTTTTGGTAACATTTCGGGATCTATACCCGTAGGCGCTCAGCATCATGGTCCACATGAGAAAGTTCAAGGTTCTGACTCAGATAATGAGAGAGAGTTGCCTGCAGATTATCTTTGCCGGTTTTGGTCAAGGGTAATCGAAGTTCAGGAAGCAGGTCGGCCTGACCAGACTCTTGACCCCAAATAAGACATCACATCTCTTTGCACTCAGTGCATTGCAAATGTCTCTGACAAGACTCTCAAAAGGTCAGGATAGGGTCTGATGCTGCTGCGTTGCCTGGAAAATCACCTTTTCCGAGGTCGGCCCGGACCCTTCTCCTCCTTCAGCTCATTCCCCAGATCTGGAACTTGCGCCACTACCTCTCGCAGGAAATCGAAGTCGCTGTTCGCCTCGATGCATGCCTTTCTGCAGGAATGAATAAGAAACCGTGGTAAGAGAAAAGCAGAACCAATGTCGACAAAATCATCTACAGCTTGGCCAGGTGAATCTCAAAAAAGTTTGTTGGGTTGGGGAGAAAAGAAGGGGCACAAGATTGACACGGAGCAGACGGTAACTAAACATGAGCCTCAGGGTGTCCTCTCTATCGGTAAAGTGTTGTCAAACCAAAGACTGGCAAATCGTTTGAAAACCTGACTGGCCTGATGACTTTCTGGAATGAGCTACACCTTACTTGGAGGCATCAAGAAGCTTAAGTCCACAAAGCAGAGAAAGCTTCCTTACAAGTGACTGCCGGTGACGGTCTTCGCGTTCCGTGCGATGGTGACTTTGTAGGTCTCGTCCACAAGCTTCTGAAGAAATAGCTCAAGGGCCCTGGCTGCAAACCAAGGTCGTGCTCAGTTAGTCAGGCCTAGGCGCCTTTAAGATTGAGAAAGGGCACCTTGGCAAAGAATTGAACCTTGGGACGGAACTTCTATCATCCTTAGCCGCTTGCTGGGGGGCACTTTTGGCCAAAATTGGAAAAAGTGTGAGATGCTCCGACCGGGTATACTTTCTGCAAGAACTGTCTGATTGCAGAACAGACACAAGTAAGAGTACCAGTTTATGTCGTTGAAGACCACCAGCCCACAGTGTAGAGTAATACAAAGGGGGGGCTAGCCTTTTCCAGAAATATGTTGATGTATGGGAACCACCACCATCCACCACCATCAAGCTATCAACATAAGATACATCCTTAATGAAAAAATCAATACAGTTTCTATCTATCTGTATGGAAGCAATTGCCATTCAACAAAGGCATAGCAGCTATAGGCAACTCACAAATGAGTACAGGAGACGCCACAGCAACCTTCCCAACTTCATCGTCCGCCTGCATAACCTTCTTTATTCTGCCCTGCACATCGAACCAATGGAAGCATGATTAGGCGACCCAAAATTCACCCACCAGCCAGGCAATGCTACGCTACACTTTGTCTCCAAAGGTGCACAGAGATATCCAGGAGTAACCCAAAAGTTACACAAGTTGTCCTTTCAAGCAAAAGTAAAAAGTGGCAAATATCAAGGTGAGCCCTCAGAGAAGAACAGCTGATTCTGGAGTATGTTCCGCAAGCAATATTTATCTACCCAAAGATGGGTAAAACTTGTCCTCAATGCCTTACCGTAGGGAAACGGGTCTCCAGAGGCTTTGGCTTCATACTGGGCTAGCAAGAACACCTTGCAGCTCAATTGCGGCTACTGATACTTCCTCAGAATAGAAGAATTATTTGTATTACAGACTCGCAAACAAAGAAATGGAACCTCGACTTGGTAACCTTGTAAAATAGCAAAGGTGGGCCTGGGCGCTCGCTCTACTTTTGGCAGCTGGACTTAAAGTTGGAATTGAGTAATTTGACAGCCCTAGATTTTACCATGGCACCTACAACTGCTGTAGCCTCTTCAGGCACTAGCTCCCGCAAGCAAGCTGGCCTCCTTCAGGCTTCTGCAGAATGTTCAGAAATGCAGAGAGAAAGCTAGAAGGCACTGCATGAGCTGCCCTTCTTCTTTGAACTTCAAGCCTGCTTCTTCAAAGTCCTCTAGGCAAAGTCCTCAGCTGGACCTTGCTGAGTGCATTTCTGTCACACACTAGCCTGCAGTATGACTCGCAGGACTCGCAAGCTTGCAAGGAACCTTAGAGATTCACGGAATTATGGTAAAAGTAGCAGAAGCTTTCAACTCGCTTGCGGTGTTATAGAGGCGGTTTCAAGGGTCTCTCCAGCTCTCAAGTTTCAATCAGGCTTCACAAGTCACTCTCACTCACACACTCGTGACTCGGGAAGAGGGTACCGGTATCCTGGACCTCAGGCTCAGGATAGAGAGCGCGCGTTGTCAGTGTCACAACTGTTGTGAGGCCACCTCGGGAACGACGGAAAGGGTGCTAGACGAAGGGAAGCGGCCTATTCAGGACTTTGGTGCTAGGATTATAAAGATTTAGGAGCCGATCGATGCTGCCCTTTGATTAAGCTCGCTCTTCAGTCGCCCGCTGACTGGGAATCTGGCCGATCGGTTTGCGTGACCTTGTAAAGGACGCCCATTGCCTGCGTCTGTACCCTTTCTCAAATCTGATACATCCAAACCTCCGGGCGTCTTGCTCTTGGGGCGGCAGGGCAAGAAACCATGTTGCGGTCTTTGTTGTCCAAGGGCTCGGCATTTGGTCTGCTGAAGCAGGCCATCGCCCAGGCAAGCTCCCCCGTGGAAGCGGTCGCACCAGCATTAGCACTGCAGGTATGTTGCATTAAATGGCTTTTTTTTAGTGTTACATTGTTATTAGTGTGTAGCTCGGCTGTTGCTCGATGCAGATGCCTAAATGCCCTCGCAGATCACCAGAAATTAGCTGGATTGTGTGGTTGCAGTGCAGGAGCATGCAGATATTTTCTTCTTGGGATCTGTTTTCAAACTTCCAGGTTCAAACCGTCTATTAGGCCAATTGGTATCCTGTTGCTTGCTTCTAAAATAAATATGTAGCGAGAAAATATTGCTGCTCTTTTCCTTAGTAGTTGAGCCCTGTTCCAAATGTGCTCTTTTGTATTGCTGAATCGTGGCAGCAAGCTTCCGTACACTGACAAAGACTAAGACTGCCTTTAATGGATGATGCAATCAATGAGATGTGATTGCATCTTAGGAAGTCCTAATGTAGAACTCTAACGAGCTCGACTGCGTGGTTGTGAATCTTGCAGAGCATCCGCCCTCTCTCAGCAGCTGCACAAGCCTCAAAGGCTGAAGACATCATTGTGAGCATCCCCATCCCACCTCCCGCTCCTTACATGTCTCAGGACCGCTCAGGTCTATCAAACAGATGCCAAACTTCTAGGGCGCGACTGTTCACGAGGTTTCAAGCTTACCGCTAAAGCTAATCGGTCTTCAATCTGACGTATAGGCAAGGGTGCTGCGCAGGTAGTGGTTGGTTGTTCAATTGTCCCGTTCTACCGATCGGACTGACTAATAAAAGGGTCGGATTTTTCAAACACCCTTTCAAATGTTCCCTTGCTCTAGAACATATTTGACCAGAGACTGAAATCAAAATGAGGTAGATGGTGCTACTTGGATAGTTCCAAAAGATCAGGGCTTGTTCTGGTTGACGTCGCAGCCTGTTCTGCATTCAGCACTTCAGTTGCTAGTCTTTGGTATCTGCGAACGCTAAATCAGTCCAAAGAGGTTGGTTTGTGAGCGCCTCTGTGCAGCTGCGAACAAGTTGCACGCCTAAATGGAAAGGAAAGTGGCCGTTGAAAGCCAGCTCCCCACTTGTGCAACTAGCAAGAACAATCCTTTATCAACCTCCAGCCCCGCATGCCGTATAGACTCCTGTTCGGTTCCCCCTCCAGTTGACACACATCAGCAGTATGCAGCAACCCCTGATTGGTTCTCTCTCGTTGCAGCCCCCAAAGAACCTCTTCAGCGTGCACGGCAAGTATGCGTCAGCGCTGTTTGTCGCAGCCGCCAAGGCGAAGAAACTAGACGTGGTTGGGAAGGAGCTCGAGCAGCTGGAAGAGGTGATCAAGGGCAACGCCGAGTTCCGCGCCTTTCTTAAGGACCCCATCATTTCGCCCGCTGTCAAGCAGAAGGGCCTCGAGGAGTTCTTCAAGGCGGCCGGCGCCTCTGACATCACCGTCAACTTCTTTGGTGAGACTACAATGGTTGCCTTTTCCTATGTCAGACCTTCTTATGCAACTTGAGTCCAACGTCTAGGTCCTGGTTGGGACAACTCATGTGCCATTTTTTACCAGGTTATGATGTCGATTCAAAGTTCAACCAGTGGTGCTGATACGCAGTGCTTACAGTTGGTTTCTCGGTGTTTCGACAACCATCCTCTTGTTCTTCAGAAGATTTTGTCGTCATAGATCGTTATCATTGCTTCGTGTCCAGGGAGAAGACACACGTCTCTGTAAACAAAAGTCGGAACTGCAAATCGACGACACGGCAAGGACAACGACTCATTGAAGTTGCAGCATTCATTGTCGGGTCCGGCGGAGAGACTTGTCTTCTGACCTATATTGCAACCTGAGATTCGCAGATTCAAGTTACCACGTCCATGTGCCTTCCTAACAATCAGCAAGGTGCGTGGGCCCTTGCTTTCGCATGTTGATCGCCGCATTCTCTCAATATACTTCACGTAAATGTTCGCTTTCACGCTGTGGCCCTTACATGGTTTGCTTTCTTGCAGCGGTCCTGAACGAGAACGGTCGGCTCGGGAGGGCCGAGAAGGTGATTGAGGCGTTTGAGGATCTCTACCACGAGTACAAGGGCGAGGTCAAGGCTGTCGTCACCGTTCCTTATGTGAGTTTTATCGGGATTGAAGAGGGTTGAAAGTTCGGTCCGTAGATCAGAACGCGTCGATGCTGGATTCTGCTTCACCACCATGGGCATCTTGTTTGCGCATGCGCCCCTGCTCGATCAGTGCCAGCCCCAGAATCCGTTTGGGATGCACAACCGGAGAAGGTGACGGACATCCCACGAGCAAGTCTTTCACTTAGTCGAGGTTACATGTCTTGTTTGTATGGATAGTGACTTTGACTGGCAATCACGTTTGTAAGGCCGCTGTTCTTTTAAAGCCCTACACCTCGCTGCCGAGAAGTCCCATTTTGACCGTCCGCTTCCGTGGGAGCTTCTTAATACTGGGGCTTGGTGCACTTTTTGCATAGAGCCACCCTTGTCCCAGAGTGGCTTCCCGCCAATCTTGAGTGGACGTTGAAACCCTCGAGATCCCTTTTTGCAGCCGCTCACCGACGATCAGCGAACAGAGCTCAAGCAGTCGCTCCAGGGCTTCCTTGAACCAGGCCAGACACTGACGATCAAAGAAAAGGTAACTCCAATCGCTTCCTCTTTTGCCTGAACCGTGTCCTTTGTTCTCTTCTTGGACCCGCTTGTCGACAGTATGCTCTAAAGACGATATGCAGTCTCGCATCTTGGTCTTTGACCACAGCCGGGGTCGTCCCATGTGCATGGTGGTACCTCGTGTCGGTTGCCAGAGTGATGCTCAGGAGTAATTCTCACCTAGGGTTGAAAGTAGTACGATACTGATCGATTCAACGGGCTTTTGTCTGACGAACGGTTTTACCGGAGCCTAAGCTCTTCCGCCTTATCCTGCAGATCAAGCGCAGCATCATGGGCGGTCTTACTGTTGACATTGGCGAGAAGTACATTGACTTGTCAATTGCTACGAGGATCAAGAAGATTGAAGCAATGCTGAAGGATGCAACATTAGAGTGAAGGCAACCAAGCAAAGGGTGGATCGAAGTTGAAACTTAAAACCGACCGCTCACAGTCGCTGGTTTCAATAAACAGAAGGTAAAGAAGTGTGTACTACTGCGATTGGGAGTGCAGAAGATCATGCGAAGGCATCAAGGGAGCGTGGTGATCATGCGATGTATGCATGTGGCCGGCTGTACTCCCACTAACTGATATAGCGAATTGCATTGCACTACAGAAGTCGCTGTATGTAAACAATTGCATGATATTTTGCATGCAATGATGCAAGACAGGGCTGGCACGTTACAAACCGTATATCTGCAGATGCCTAGAAAGTTTGACGTACGTTGGCGGCCGTTGCTAGTCCGCAAACGAATTATGTTGATCGACTTGCATCCTGTGATCTACAACGTCCGATCCGGTCATCGTATATATTGACAAATGGCGGCCATGCTGGCACGCGACGGAGCCCAATAGTAATGTGCGCAACTGGACACTGGCTGGCCAGGCCGGGGCCGTGCATGTGGCTGCCACATGCTTAAGTACCGTCGTCGGAGCAGCTAGTCTACATATAGGGCTGCTAGCAGTACCAAATTACATATGTCACTGATATACACTACTATAGCACATTTCTTCTTCATTTGCTAGGCGGCGCGCGCCAGCTTCCACACCACACTGACAGTGGCCTGGCACGTGCATTAGTGCATGCCGCCTCCCCGCCGGTCGAGGCCGCCCAAAGTACCATCAAATATATATGGAAGTACATACATGGCCTAGGTCCACTGAGCCGGAGCCGGCCGTCCTCTTTGGAGCTTGCCAGACGTACATGTCATTTCGAGTATTCCTTGCAGCCGCTCAGGCCACATTCGACGACTGCGGTACTAAGCATATACGGTACTCAGCATATTCTCAGCTTATCATTCAATACAGTGCCGTTGCATTAAATACGCAAATTACTCTTATGAAGTGCACGCGATCTGCCGTGTGCCAAGAGGTGCCAGGCGCCGCGGCTGTCTAGATAAAGGAGCTGGAGGTCGGTGTAGAATCGACCAAACAGGTGCAGTACGCTACGTTCAGGACGGTGGCATGTTGGACAAGCACCATGCCAGGCAGACTTTCAAATGGCGCAGCCACTCAACAACCCATATGAGGTTAGCTTTCAGCCCGGGGCAGTTGAACGAAATACAATAACTGTCGCTGGCTGATTCATCATAGGGACAGGGCAGCTCCCTGCCATGCTATTGGCATAGTATCCGTATGCTGCCAGAAGGCGCTTGATCGCCTGGCAGCATTCGAGACTGTCGGACTTCCCCAGTATTTTGGGTTCAAATATGTACACTCTATTCTTGCATAGCTTCTGCCTGGCCCCCCGTTTGTACCCGGACCTTGAGCTTCTCCGGAGCCTTCGGCAAGGTAAGCGACGAGTCGAGCTGGAGAGCGACCGGCGCTTTGACGAGGTGGATGTTCTGCTCGAGCTCCTTGGCCGCCTCCTTCCTTTCTCTGGCCTTCTTCCCGCTCATCCTGCAACATCAGAGCGCGACAAATTAACGCAAGCTTCGAATCGATACCGCTAAATTGCTAGTCATCACCAGAAATGCTACCAAGCACATTGGGACGCCCCCGGATTTCATAAGACGACCACCGCTGATCCGTTCCCTAGAAAAGTCAAGAAGATCGTAGAGTGGAGCGGATGTTATCTTTTCTCGACTGAAATACATACAAGCGACTTCCTAATGGTGTCAACAGGATAAAGAAGTTGCGCCTTCTTTGCATCCCAAGAAGTAGAGGCAAATACCTCCCTACAGAGTCCCTTTATCCGAACAGGGCATAGAACACAACATATTGCTTTTGAGTAAAAGGCGGAAGGACGCACCTCTTCTCCCAGAATCGCGACTCCCGCTTCTCCCTCACTTCTGCAATCTTCTTCATTGCCTTCACTGTCTGCTCCACCACATTCCGATCATACCGCTCCGGCCGATTTCTCTTCCGTTCTAGTTCGAAGGTCGCGTCCTGAGAAGAAACCAGTATCAGCAACATGGTGCCAACTCGTGGAAGGAAGTAGCCCCGCCACGGATAGGGCGGTCACGTATGAACATTTTCGGGACGCACCGTCCCTCAGGGGACGAATTTCCGTCCCTTAGGGACCGAAAACCGGTGATTTCGTTCCCCAAAATTTTTGACCCGATATTCTGGGCGACGGTGCGCTCCTTAGGGACGCCAGTAAAACTACTGGGGGACGGTCGGCGATCACTCAGTAAACAGTCTGCCTGACCACATAATCGAGGAACCTTTTAGCATTTGCGCGATCTGTCCTTGGCAATATGACCAAAGCAGGTTCTTGGGGAGCATACACTCCCTCAGGGAACACTCGCCACTTTCCTGAGAACTCAAATGTGACCGCCCTATGAGGGCACCACAGATGCCACACTCAGACTCCAGTCACGAAGTTAGGCGTTTAAGAAAACATTGGCGCTTTGACCCACTTTGAGACGCCAGAGGGTTTGTCCACATGACAGCATTCGCGGATGGTAGTGCAGTGAAGATGCTCAACACCCAGGTTACCCAATCTGGCCCCTAACCTACGACCAACTTGCAAGCATGCCCCCTCCCCCAAAAGGAATGTCCAGCTACTGTAAAGCGTCCCCGAAAAAACTGTATATTGGCTCGACGTCTGACAGGATTGTCTGGTGATCAACGGTTTAGACACTACCTGATAGATTGCATAATCTGGACTTGCATTCCCTAAAACCTTGTCTGATACCCCCACGATCAGTCACAGCAGATTGCTTGATGCCTCTGGTCTTATTAATGCCCTAGAAACCTAAGTTTTGCGAACCACAATTCAATGTGGTACTAGGTTGATGACCAGTTCCAACTCAAAATCTTGATGATAACCATCTTAGAACTGACAAAGTAGATAGAAGCAGCTATCATATTAAAAATTCCAGTCCCAAAGAGGGCAAAAGCAACCCCCTTGAGCCGATGGGGGTGGTGGTACAGCAGAGGGTATCATTGAAAGAAAGCAGAACCGGTCTTGAGCTCGCCCTTTATCAAGTTACTCACAACATCAACAATCTGAGAACAAGCATATAAAACAATTGAATTAATTCGCAGTGGAGTAGTCATGAAAGCTTACCACCGCAAGCTCCTTCCCATGGAGTTTCCTATAGGCCTTCGTCCACTTGACCTTTCTAGGGTTCCGCTTCATCCTGAAGTTCTTGTGGCATTTTGACCGGCAAAACCGGAAGATCTGCACCAACCAAGTCACCAGAGGTCAGACACGCGAATCATATGGAACAGCAACATCTGATTGTCCACAGCCAAACCAGGCCACAGGTAGCTCTAGCAGATCGCCGAACGTTCATCAGGATCCAAGAAAGTCCTTGCCAGCTTCTTGTGAATCCTTCGGATGTGATAGTGGTACCTTCCATGCTGTCCTCAACACAAGCAGCAACCATGCTTCACGTTTCCATATTACAGAAAATGCCACTTCGATGAAAACTTGACTACCAGCATGGGTGGCACAAACCCTAAAATTGAACTTGATCTGAAAGACTTCTCATGCTCCTCCGCTCTGCTTAAAGGAGACCGTTATGCAGATATTGTGGGTTAGAGTCGTGAGATGCATCAGCTGACCCGGTAATGATCCACCTGACGCCTACCATTACCACACATCAGCAACCCAAACCCATGCAGACTGGTTTGTTTGTCTCAGGCGCTCAGAATTTGATGTGCTTATGAGCAAAGAAGCCGGCAGCTAACCTCCTGCAAAATGCCTGCTAAAACTCGAGCCAATGCCACCCACTCTCCAATTGCCCAGTTGGCTGCATTGAATGATGGTATATTGAAAGCACAACTCACCTTTGCATCGTTCCGGACAAATTGTATCCCATGCCCCGGGTATATCGTCGACGAACAGAACCAGCACTTTTCTAACCGCATGGCGCCTGATTATTGAAAAACACAGAGCTCCAAAAGGTGTCTACGAGAGAGCGGATGCAAAGCTGGGCTTTGTAGTCAGAGAATGACACGAATCAGCAATGGGAGCAACTCTTCGACTTGGCACCCGAAGCAAGGAGGAAGGTGGAGGCAGGGGAGGAAAGGCGCCTGAAATGGAATGCAACTCGCGTAAGTGAGAAGCTCGAGCCTCAGACTCAGAGTCAGGGGAGACTGAGACAGATCGCTAGGTGAAACGGGTACGCACCGCCAGACCCTGGTACATACTTCATAAGCCACGTGTAAAGCCACATGTTAATATTTCAGCTTCCGATTGGTTCAAAGCACCGGCACAATCTGTGGCAAGGGGCAAATACTTATTAGCCCTCTGACAAGTAGTATGTCACTTCATTTTTGACAATTGTAATATTCGGTGACAGCATCATGCGGTCTACATCCCTACCAAGATCGGATTGTTGCCCGCTGATTAGTGCGAATCCTAGTTCCAACAGATTGCCCGGAGGCGACAAGTAGCTAGCGGAGTCACGGTTGCTTTGACTAGCACGCCACTGGCAAGTTTAGTTGTAATCCGGTAAGCTGTTGTTAGACTAGGTTCGGTGACTAATTCAGTGTACGCACTTTGATTTGGTTAGGTAGCTAGACGTTCAAGACCCAAACAATTCCCATGTATGCCATGGAAGCCTATGGCCCATGTGGCTACGGCGTTTGAAAAGATCGAACATCATTTGCAGGTCTACCTATAAGAAGGGTTGGCCCTTATCATGACTCATGTACCGGAGCACTCGCACAGGAAGAAATCCCCGGCCTTATGGTTCTAGCAAGCTTTGAAGCGTCGACGCTGACAGGATCCAATTTGATGACAGTAATCATAATCAACTATCTGTCCCTGGCCCGCCTGGACCGTCATCGATATACGCATGGACAATTTCATAAGCCGCGTGCCGAGTCCAGATGTGTGGACCGTTTGGGCTCTTGCACAGTATGATGTATCTTTGACATGCATGGAATGTGCACGCAATGCAGACCTCAATAGGTACCAGTAGAATGAATCATGATCTGGTCGAGGGTACCCACAAAGCCTTTAGGTGAGAAGAGCGGCCTGGAACGCCCCTGATTCCTTGGACGTTGCAGATGATTGCATGATAAAGGACGAATGACTTTCTGCGAAGCAGCATACTACAACGACTGACGACTTTTGATACAGTCGTAACGAAGTGCATGATCAGTGGACTAGAGGAGCCTTTGTACACGTTTACCGGGGCCAACGGCCTAACAACCGAGCTTCTACTGTAGCAAGCTCGTCCTGCACTACCTCCGTCCTCGTATACCTACAGATGCACCTGCTTGCACTGTCCTACCGTCGCCTCTTGGGGGCAGTAGGGGCACTTAAACGCCCGCGAGTTCCCCTTTGCTAACTTCTGTATTGATATCTTGCACAGCACGTGCCCGCACGGCAGCAGCATGGGCGGGTTCTCCGCCGTGCTCTGCTCCCTCGAAACCGGGCACGCAAATATCGAGTGAAACTGTAACTCCCGCCCCATCTCTATCTCGACCGGCAAGTGCTTCCCCACGTTCAAGTCCAGCTTATTCTCGGCAAGTAGCGTCGCCCATTTCAGCAGCGTCGGCAGCGCCTGCGCCCCGGCCGAGATCGTCACCTTCAGTGGGCTCTCCAAACTCTGCCCTAACTCGCAACAGCACTCCCGTCGGAACTCCGCGGCGATCGCATCCCAATGCGACTCCGCTAATAAGTCCGCGTACGGCGACGCGGGGAGCTTCCCGACCCAGAGCATGCACCCCATAAGCCGCTGGATGTCCGCCATGTGCGTGCTCGCAAAGGGGCCGAAGTGCGCGCGCGCGTAGAGGAGCGCGGGCGCGCGTCCCTGCGCGTGGAGAAGGTGCACGAAGTGCAGCTGGTGTAGCCGGAACTCGAAGTCGGAGCGGTGGCGAGCGCGCAGCGCGGGACCGTGCGCGCGCGCCCACTCGAGCGCAGGCTCGAGGTTGTGTTGCCTGGAAAGACATCGGATTGAAGGAGTTGAGCAGACTGGCCGGTGCTTAGAAAACGCGATGCTGAGTTGACGGAAGGAACCTGCGTACTTTGACACGATGCAGGCGGAAACTCTAGACCAAGCTTGGCGGCTAAAACAGTGCTTGTCCTTTATCGGTAGGCTCGCTTCCATTCCAAATTCAACTTCCGAACTATAAATCCGGTATTGACTCGTCTGGCTAACCGAACCTCAGAAGAGGACCGGGTTTCTTTAACACGACTAGGTATTCGCTGTCAGATATTAGTGTACCATGTACAGCCGACAGGATGTACAGTCGACTCAGATGAATGAATGTAAACAAAACGATTTTGTGCACTTGATGCAGAAACTTTCAACACTCAGAGCAGTAAAGGATAAAAACCGGCACTCTCAGCAACTCGCAGCAACTATAGTCTACGAAGGCGCCATACACTTACGTTCGGACAGGGTTCAATCTGCATACGATTGTGGTTTAGGGGAGTAGGAAACAAAATCGTCTCGAGTGATTGCACAGTTTACTACATGAAAACGTTCAGCTGTATAGAACGTTCCGCTCTACAAAAGAATGGAAGCTGTATTTGTAGCAGCTATATGTCGGGAAAGGATCACCAGCAGACTGGCCGGGTAGCCGAAGAAAGCAATAGTGGTTCTAGGCTGCCGTAATAACTAGGATTGGTCGAGTCTCAGAAGTGAATGTTCGAGTCGTTTGGTCAGATTGAAAGAGGTCGCAAGACAAGGTTCCACAATCGACTTTCGTTCTTACTGCAATATTTCCTTCCAGTTGACGGAGAATCCCCGATCAGGACTGAATTATGCGCACCTTATTTGCTCCAGGATCTGGTACATCTCCAAGAACGGCTGCCGCATGTTGTCGGGGATTGTGATGTCCGCCTCCTGAAGGAAACTTTCGCCCAGCTCGAAGTGCCCCTCCCGAAACAAGTGCTGCGCAATGACCTGTGATTGACAGAAAACCCTTTTCAGAATGTATAGACGGTGTTGCCTGCCACTGCCACTGCTACATATGGCTCGGAGGCATTGTATTGGCAGCCCAATACGAAGGACTGCGAACGAGAATCAGACGCGTTGGGCGACAAAGAATGCAGATCTGGAGAGGCCCCACAGGCTCTGCGTCATCGAAGGCTGCCGAATGAAAAAGCCGAACTCACGTCTTCTTCCATTGGCTAACGCTTATGGGGCACCAAAGGGTGAACTACAAAATATCCATCTCAGAAGGAGCCTTTGCTATCAGAGCGGGGTCAAGGAGAATCAGTAACTTTGGGACCGGGGCCGGGGATGCTGTTGGAAGGGCTGACGTGGCAGGATTTAGGGGCGAAAGCCTGGGCTAGGCCTTCTTTCGACCAATCGTTGATCTTGAAGCCCCGGGAAAAAACTCCAAACCTCGCCACGTCAGCCCTTCCAACAGGGTCCCCAGCCCCGGACCCCAAATTACTGATCTCCTTGACCCCGCTCGATCAGCAATCTCCAATCTTTCTTAAGAACCATGCAACCACAGCTAATGGATAGCGAACCCTCAGAACGGTTGTGATTGCAGATACTGATACTCATAAGAGATAGCGCACCTCATTGAGCAGGTCTTGGCGGAGGTCCTCCTCCTGGCAGGACTTGAAGATGTTCCTGCACGCCCTCGACACGTCCGTCGTGAAGCTCTTGTCCAGCAGCTTCCCATACTTGCTCAGAGCACCCGCAAGCTCCTTCTGCAGAACGAGACACAAACTGTTCGATCAACTGATCCTGTGCGGTCTTCATGTTCAGGAGCATTTCACTGTCTCTGGTCGTTGCTGAGTCGCTTACTGCTGTACAATGAGAACAACACCTGCACCTCAAGGGGAAGATTGGCCAGTGATGCTGAGTAGGCTTCCATAACTTGCTTCCCATGCCTCAAGCCAGCATCCTTCTGCATAAGAAAGACATGTAATGCAACTCTTCTGGAGCCCGGCGAGCAAGCTCCACAGTTCCACCATGGAGCTGGTTGCATCTCTGGACTCTCAATCTGCAGTCAGTGTTGCTGTGCTTCCTCAAGTCAGTGCTGAACATACGAATTCACGGTCTCACTTTTGTTGATATGTCAGTTAACCGTCTCCAAGGAATAACGATGGATGATTTTCACTACTCGCAGAAATCTAAAATACCACTCCAACTACAGAATTTTAAAAGCGCTGCAGTCCTGCTCAGGGATGACGCTTTCAATGCTTGTTTTGTCCACTACCTATGATTTGCCCAACCGTGAATCAAACTCCATTGCTGAGGGGCACACCAACGATACCAGCATTCTAAGCTTGAGCCCTGTGCTTGCACTACGAAAGCTGGCTACATCATTCGAGGTGCACTGAAAGTGGACGCCGCAGACCTTCCCATATGACATTGATACACCCATTGAAAGTCCAGTGTTCAAAACGTTTTGAAGAGCACTCCACTCAACTGAAGCATCAGTTTGTGCACTGCCTCCTCTATTTGCTTCTCAATGCACCCGAAGAATGACAATACAGCCCCCTGCAGTGGGTGCGCTCCTTTCTTGTTGCTTCGGGATAGGAACACAAAACATCCTCATAAGATAGATACATTGCAGGATATATTGGAGAGATGCACCAGTCCTGGAGAAGCCAAGGAATGGAACTACTCTTACCTGCGCCCCTGCTATTTGACCTTGCGGTCCAAGCTCATTGACCTTTGCTTGGAGGCCCCCGAGAATCTCCCCAGTAGCAGGGCTTGACCCAGCTAGCTGCTCCGCTTGCTTAATATTTTCTAACAACTTCTCAATGACTTCGTTTGTCTTTGCGTAGGTTGTCTTCTGCTTCTTTGCGACCCTCTCAAACGCGTCGTCCATTCCTTGGATGTCCATCTTTACATGTACCCTTGGAGAGGGAACATGCAGCACCGCTTCCTGAAAGAGATACAACTCCAGCAGCTAGTGCCTATGCCTCAACACATCCAGCGCCCCTGCAGTCTGGCCGCTGCAGCCTCAAGCTGCACTCCCAATTCTGAAAAGGAGGCAATTCTGAACAAGCCTTTCTTCAGAATTTCAACGCAGAAGAGGCGAGCTAGGCCGACGACTGAATTGCTCGAGTGTAAACCCGGTCTCCAGCTAAGGATTGGGTGCGCCGGAGGGGCGAAAGGAGCCACTTTACATGGGGCCCGAAGAAGGCGCTAGCGTTCTCGTCTCCTTTCACCAGCCCACTTGTGCAGGAGACACCACCACTGTTGGAGACACCTTGTACTGTGGTTCTGTGCGCTCATGCAGGACAGCATTGCCTTGTCATTGTCCAATTCAGGGCCACTTGAACAGCGCCTGCTTTGGGATTGTCCATGTACATGTTCCAGAGTGGCATTGCAGCGTCACTCCTTAAAGCCTGCCAGGAAATGAAGGGTGTCTATTCATCCTGCATTCATTTCGGCGGCCCAGCTGATGTTGCCGCTATCTTGAGAATGGCGTCTCCAATCGAGCTGAGAGGTAGCGTGAGACAGGATTTGAAGAGTACGCAAAGACTGGAGAAAAGCTCAGCAAGGGTTTTCAAAGGAAGTCATTGGCCCACATTAGGGTTTGCAGGATGCAGACAGCTTGCTTCCGCAGAACGGCTTCCGAAACGCTCAACTTTGGAGTGGTGCACTAGGACAAGCCATCATACGACCACTCATTTAGAATCTGATAAAGAAGGGAGGATCAAGGGGCCTCCTCTGCAAACTCCTCCTCACCTGCAGAGCAGAGCAAAGCGAGGAACCGTCCAAGCTATGGCCACCTCCTTACAAAGTATTGGTTCGGAGACTGCCTGTAAATCAGATCAAACGGAGATAGCATTGATCCGCCCACTATTTGAAAGGCCGGCAGTGCATGAAGCGAATGTGGCGTCCATCCGCCATTTCAATGAGTGGGCCTGCGAAAAGGTTGCTGCGGTTGGGGACCGCTTCTCAGAAGAAGACAACGGGCCCACCTCCGGAGAACTGACGGTACGTGAATCCACAGAAAAACATCTTTAACTGGTTAAGCAGTCAGTATCTGCTAGTCTGCCAGTCTAGGTAACTTTGAATCTTCTCAGAAGTCATAGACCAGTCTTGGTTAAGGTGCAGAAACGCTGCCTTAGGTTGTGGTCAACGTTCTAGCATTGCTCAGCTGCAAGTACAAAAACAGTACAACTTGCAGCTTGTCATGATTGTATTCAGTTCTCATCTAGTGACATCCTCCTTGACATCAGCCAGGACAGCAGATCATGACCAATCCCAGTCCATGTACAGTACAAAATCCTGTTCCCAACAACGGTGTTCAACCTGTGCAGCGAGAAGTAGACTGGCTCCTGGATGATGCTGTTGCTGCCATGGACACGGACGACGAGCCTAAGACTCCTGCCACCTGGAGAGCGCTCAGCCGGCGCATACGAGACGGCTCTGCCAAGGTCAGATATTGTCACAAGGTCTTATTACTCATCTCAAAGTACATTTTGCAAACATTCGCCATTATGTCGTCTGGGAGCCCGGAATGTGCTTCGGAGTAAACTTTTTGACCTGTAATTCCATCTTTCTTTGCTGCTTGGTTTGGGAAGAGTTATGAGGGGGTGGTCACTTGTGCTGGTCTTACAGAAGATAAAGCTCAGTCATCTTGTTACTTCCAAACAGCCCAATCACTCCGGTCACTCTCCGAGAGAGGCTTGTAAGTACGATTGGAAGGACACCTTTTTCCTTTCTTATTTGATGTCTCTTTTCCCAGAAGTTGGAAGTCCTCCTTCAAAGTCGCTTAAGCATCCTTGTCACTTCCTTCAGCAGGTTCTCAAGTCCTTCATACCTTCAGAACCGAGTCTTGCCGTCATTCCAAGGAGGCATATGCATCCGCCTTCTCTTTCAAAACCAAGGCTCACGGCTTCGGCAACAAGTGCCCCTCGACTAGATGATTCCCAAGTTGCTTTGGATGCAAAGTTTTGTCTTTCTATGGTGGCTTTTGTCGTCCTGTGGTTCAGTAGGACTCTCTGTAAACCTAATCGGCCAAGTCACCTAATTCCTTAATCACTGAAGTTTCCATTATAGTTTCAGCGAGGGTTTTGTTTTGTGTCTTCCTGCAAGACCGCCGTCACGAATCCAGCGCCGTTGCGGGGTGTACGGCAGACGCCCTTCCAGATTCTGAACCCTGTGAAAGCAGTCGACAACTCTGCATGACCTTGTACCACTCAAACGTTTTGCACAGAAAGAAATGCACTACAGGTCAACAAGATTTTGAAATCTTATCGAGATTGTACGCGAGTGTAACTCCTTACAGTCTATTGTCAGTGTTCTGGAAACGGGAACCAGCCACTGTTCTCCCGCAAGCCACCTTGCTCGAATTGGGGCTCTGAATGCCTCGTGCCAGAGTATTGCATGCTGATCCAAATGCCTGATTGGGTCCGCTCAGATCAAACTTCTGCAAACAAGGTCTCGACTGTTGAAGGATTCAATCGACGCCATGCCCTCCAATTCGTGATTTCGAAGCAAAAACCTCAGGTAGATCGCCGCGATTTGGGACTGCCTGTGGCACGCAAACTATCATTTCCCGGCCGTTCATTGGCGTGGTCACCACTTTTGAGCCATTCCGGATCGTCGATGACTCCAAACCCGGTAAAAGCGGAGCAGAACCTTGTCCAAAGTAAAATCGGGCTAAACTGTGCAGACTGGAGGCACTCGGTGAAATTCAGCCAATGGGAAATGAAGACCCAGTGCGACAAAACGCGGCGATCTACCTGCCTTACCTCGTCTGACCATACGGATTTCTTGTTATCTGTGCGACCATCCCTTTAACTGCAGATCTCTTCGTCGGTCTTTTGCGGGCTAGCATCAGCGGAACTAAAGCGGCTGTGGTCTACCCGCCTGGTCAGTGCATATGCCGTTTCCTTCACCCGATTCGATAGAAAAGGAAAGTCACAAAAAGTCCTCATCGACTTGCAACTCACCTATCTTTTCCAACTGCAGCCGTCGACAACGATCTTTTTGAGGGCCAGCATCAGCGAACTAGAGCGGCTGTGGTCTTCGCGCCTGGAGCAGCGGGTTCCGTTCCAGTACCTCGTCGCGTCGGCGCACTGGCGGGACCTGGTGCTGGCGGTTCAGCCCGGAGTGCTCATTCCGCGCCCGGAAACGGAACTGCTGGTGAGGCGTCGAATTGGATGGCACGAAACTCTACGAAGGCATATTCGCTCGGCTGAAGCAAGGCGTCAAAGCCCGAGCCAAGGTTTGGCGACTGGTTCAGGTTCTGTACTTTGTGCTCGAACCGCGTCGGGAGGCGAAATTGCTGGCACCTCTTTGACTCGTTGAAGGCTCGATCTTGGAGAGCGTTTGGAGCAGTCGCTTGCGGACGAGACACGAAGCTTTTCCTTTTCTGGCATTTCAGATCAAGGCTGCGCTTCGATTGTGGCAGCTCGGCTCTCGGAGTCACAATCTCACGTTCCGTCAGTTGAGACGAATTTGAGTTGCAGAAATTTTCCTGCCGTATGCGGCTGCCCGTGTCAGATCCTACCACGCCCGCATAGACCCCAAGAGCGTTGCTACCATCTTCTAAATCTGATCATGAATCCAAGGCAGCTTCGACCTCCTCTGAAGTCGATAAGTGCGCTTCCTTGTGTGTGGTGTGGTCCTGCCACCAGTCGAGTCTGACTGTTTTGGCCCTGTCGAGCGTCGCATCATAAGTTCCTTGCCAAATCCGCGACGCCTGTTTCTGCTGATTCCCCCGTTCGTTGTTCTTCCGAAATCTGGCAGCTCCCCTTTTCCAATTCGAAGCAGATTTCGAGCTGTCCGTTGGAAGCACTTCGCAAAAATATCACAGCCACAAAAGAGAATCGGGCAGCACAAATGGAGATTCTGCGTTACGTCAAACATTCAATCGAAAACAACATACGGTCTTGTTCTCTACAGTAGCAACCCTTGCTGTGGGAGTGTCGAGTCGCTGAGTTTGTTTCTATCGCAACGCTCAGGCTACGCACAAAACGAAAAGGCCCTGCTCCTTGCAGATTGACTTCGCCGAAGAGGCCCTAAAAGCCGACCCCAGCCTCGGACAGGGCCCCTGGGCCGACCTCGGCACTGGGAGCGGCGCGCTCGCCATTGCACTCGCGCGCTCTTTCCCCGCGAGCGCGATTTATGCCGTCGACAAAAGCCCCACTGCAATCGCCGTTTCCCGTCACAACGTTCAGAGGTACGGGCTGCAGGCCAGGGTGCACGTCAGGCCTGGCAGCTGGTTTGAACCCCTAGCGGATGTCTCGGGAAGATACGCTGGGGTGCTCAGTAACCCGCCGTACATCCCGGCGGAGAACTTGGCGCGGCTGCAGAAAGAGGTGGGCGCGCACGAGCCGCGGCTGGCGCTAGACGGCGGCGCGGGCGAGGGTTTGGAGGCTTTTGCCGCGATCTGCCGCGGCGCCGGGGGGGCGCTGCGGCCGGGGGGGTTTTTGGGGCTGGAAACGAATGGCTGGGGGCAGGCGGAGCGGGTCGCGAGCATGATCGAACGGTCGGGGGGCTTCGGGGAGGTGCGCGTGCGGCCGGACTTTGCCGGGGTGCAGCGGTTTGTGACGGCGAGGCGAGAAAACTGAGGGGGCGAAGTCAGTAGTTGCCCTTTGAAAGCACTCGGCCCGGGGACGTTTCTCGAAAACAGACAAGCGGAAGCGACCTCATAAGAAAGCCTAAGGACTGCGAGGCGAGCTGAGTCGACGGGCTCATCGGTGTTGTTCCAGAAGCGAGGAGTAGCGGAGGCAAAGCAAGGCGGATTGAGAATAGCGCAGTGACGTGGCCGTGCTTGTCGCATCCTGGGCCTGGTGATGTGAGCAACCGAACCAAAGGAAGCCCTGGCCAGCCCCAGAAACCATCCGGCGTTAGAAACTCGACGATCTCAAAAGCGCAGTTGTTTTCGTACCGGCGGCTGTGGTCGGGACAAGAGTACCGGCGGCTGCGGTCGGGACAAGAGTACCGGCGGCTGCGGTCGGGAAAAGTGGCGAGCACCAGCTGGAATGAGACCAAGCTCTGCCCGCTGCCCGTGGCGTCTTCAAGCGAAGGGCAGCCACGAACAGCCCGTAGCTGCAGCCTCCGTTTCGGATCGTTTTCGAAACGTCGAGGTGAGGAAGCCGTTCTCCTAATCCCTTCTGCTTCTGCATATTGACTTTCAAGGTATCTATGCACATGTTGCGGGGCGTTGGCTAGCTGGTCCAATATATTGTAAGCGTCCGCGAGGACGCCGTGGGACGTGTCTCACATTATCACATGCGTCCGAAGCCTCGGACTCCACTTCCAAGCTGCTTGCGAAAGCCACGTGGGCCAGTTCCACAAGAAGATTGGCTTCCTTGCTTCTTTGCTTCTTCAAAGATCACTTCACGGCATCCAGAGATCTTCGGCATGACGGCGTCTCTTGAAGAGCTTTGCTTCTTTCTGAAACGCAGCTATCGTTTTGCAGACTTGTCGTTGCCAGTGGAATTCCGAAGCAGCCTCGTGAATCCGACTCTGTCTATGTTATGTTGCTCAAGTTCGGCCGAAGCAAACTGATGTTTATGACGGTTCGAGGGGTCGAGACGTCAAGAAGCAACAGTTGCTGAGCTCTCGGTTTCCGTCCGAATCCATAAACAAGGTCTGATGCTCTGTAAGACGTGCTTGACGCCAGTCTGTGCTGCCGCAACCCGGTTGTGACCAAATTCCATGCCAGTGAGCCTGATACTTGTACAACATTTGCAAACACACGAGAGTTGAGCGGTGATCAATCTGATCTGATAGGATATCCTCCAGATTATGTTTCGCCCGGCCGGCAAACCCCAGCTAGAGCCGGCGACTTCAACGTGGGGTCTAGCTTTAGGTTGTAAGAAGAGTCACTCTCTCACATAACGTCCGCGGTACATGTTCCAATCCGGAATGTGCACGGACGGGCACAGGCTGTGCATGACCGCGTTGGACGGTCGCTCTGACCATGTCGATCGGTCGCTCTGACCATGCCGATCTGTGCACATTTATTAACTGCACCGCATGAGACAGGGCGGCAGGCTCTAGCTTGGGCATCATTCAGTGCGGGCCGCGTCCATGTTATGTGCCGCGAGCCTAGGGCCATGTTTATGTGGCGGATAAGTTGCATTGATGCAGATATTGGTCATGCAAGCTGATTTGACTTGATCAGATTGACTTACAGATCCCATTGGAATGTCGCCGAGCTATATACATTTGGCATGATGCAGTGCAATGCAGCTGGCCCCCGTCCCCGGCCGCCTATGGGCTATGCATGCACATGTGCGCATCTGCTGGCATGCCTAGGATCAGCTAGATTGCAACAATTTGCATTCTGGATTGCGTGAGACGTTATACGCATGGTTGGCTGCCAGTTAAACATGGGCTGCACAGCGGCGCGCCGCATGTGCATGTATGAAGTACCAGGCTGCGTCACATGCAACTTAGCCTGATGCCATTAGTACAACTTCAATCCAGTAAGGATGATCACGGTACAGTGCGCGGTGGTGTCCTTAGGACCATTATGGATCAACAATTGGTGGTATAAGCATGCTTTAGTAGTTCCGCCCGCTGGATGCTTTCTTATCATGTATCTTAATTTGCGTCCAACCACGTTCTGCTTGCACTAGCCTGGCCTTTAAAGGCTGCTAGAGCTCTGCACCCACATTCCAAATGACTACCAATAATTGTGCCAGACTGTACACAAACAATGTAGAATCCTGGCCGAATCTATCTTAGAGTGGCCTGGCCATTAGCTGACCACAAAGTTGCGCGCTGCAAATTGTTAGAGCAAATTCAAGCCCCCCGTTTCAATGCTACCAATCCGAATACTTTCTATAAATCAACCTCGCAACACGTCAAGGATCAACGGGCTCCTTCGGTTGGAACCCGTCCCCAAGAGCTGCCTTTGACGGATCCTTGAGGAACTGGTTTTCTGCTGTTTCGCTGTGGTATATACAGTTAACTTCGGGCGACTTCCGAAGGTCGCCGACAAACCCAAACGTGTTCATGTTTTTCTTGCAGTCCTGCACCTCACCCCGTGTGACCAGCCCTCGACTTTCCAACACCTGCCAGTTGCTCTGCCTCAGGACACAGCCGGGCTTCACCTCCGCTTGAGACACGTACACGTTGAACCTGTACAGAGAATTGCCAGCCAAGACTGTCAGAATGTTGGCTTCTCGGCAAGAAACACGTGTCCCTCTTTCTGCACAAAAGAAGAATTGAACCAGGCAAAACATCGAGGCACTCCTTGAAGGGGAGCACAGGCCAGAACTCGACCTCCGATCTTTCGAAAACGTTCAGGCTTGAAGTAATGCTTCTTCCGACAGGGATACTTTCAATCCTGGGCTGTCCAAGGAGAATATGGACAAAAGTACAAGCCTTTGTCTTCAAGCCTTGCGTACTATGACTCAAACTAAACAGAAAGAAGAAGTTATTGCAAACACTCTCATTGATTGTGGGCAAGGGGCACAAATGGGCAGCGAGATAAAGGGACAATACTGCTCCGTGCTTTATTGGCAATCGCTGGCTTTCCCCATGAAAGACAAATCATGCAAAGTCTTGATGGAAGTTTTCACAGCACCTTCCTGTCCCTCAAAGGTACTTATGGACTTGTATTAAAACAACAGCACACAATTGGCAAGTCACTCATTTATTGATGGCGCCAAAGACTTCCCGGACTTCCACTCCAAACAACTGTAGGTTGCCTAAAATCCACCGCCCACACCAAAGCAAAATGCAAGGACTTACGGGTTGAATGACACGAACAACCGCTGGTCAAGCACCAGCGCGCTCATCCCGTTGGCCAGGCAGATGTCCGGATTCGGCGTCTGCCTATCAATAACTTCTCTTGACGCCACGTTGTTTGGTTCGAGGTTGATCACACTGTCTAAAGCAATCCCCGCTGCAATCCCCAGAATGAACATGCCCCCAAGCAGATAGCGCGTGTAGGGACTTTTGAGAATCCAATTGTCCTGTGTCGCAATCTGCCGGACGCGAGGGGTCTTCGCCTGCCGGCCCCCGGAGGCCAGATAGTCTAGGTCGATGTCAGACCCTTCGGAGTCGCTATAGTCTTCAGGAAACTGTGGTTGATTGTTGTCAGGAGGGTAGTCTGGCGGCCGTCGCCTGAGCTCTGTCCGCCGTCGAGAGGGGGGCCCATTGGTGGCCATTATTCTGAAACTCTTTTCTTTGTGGATATTTGACCTTCCTGCGTTAGTGTTACCCAATTCAACATTACAGAGAGGGGCTGCCAGCCAGCGTGGTTGACAGAGCCTTGAAGAGCCAAAGATCTGTCTAGGTTTAAATTGCCCTGCCCCCTCGACCTGGCAGCATTTGGTAAAACCACCAGGCTTTGAGCTGCTAGCAAGACGGGAAGAGGTGACGCGGGCTGCCTGCAAGGGCTGCCAGCCTATTGAGAAGGACTCGCAAACCGTGCGTTCCATCTTGAGCAGGGACAACACAAATTTGCTCTCACTGTTGCTAATCAGCAATACAAGGAGTAGAGAAAAAATTATATCCCGAACTTGCCCCTGGGAAATGCAGTAGACTCCTCCGCTGAAGCCCAAAGACAACTTTGGGAAAGTGTTCCTGCGCTGCTGCTCGCATACAACTGTCTTCCCCCTTTCCTAATAAAACCCAATGCAGTGGCGCTCTGGACAAGAACTTGGAACTCCGGAGGTAGAAGAGCAGAGACGGGGGATCTATGGGACGTCTAGAAAGAAAACGGTTCGTCAATGAGCTTGCGTTTCGGAGTCTAGTGATAACCCTCGGAAGACCGGTAATGCATCTAACCAGGTTTTTGAACCCGCTTCTGTGGAACATTTAATATTCCTTTTTGAAGCTCAATCAGCTTCGAAGTGTTGTCTTCATTCGGAAGAAAGTCGCCTAGGAAATTAGGTAGCTTGTCCACTAGCTCTGTCTGGGCGGGGCTGGTTGCTGCTCAGGCACTTTGCCCTCAGCGCTTCAACATTGCCTCCGCTTCTGCACCCGCCATGGACGTTGCAAATGCCAGCCCCGATGGCAGCATGGTCGACGCGCCTCCGTCCATCATTCCAGCCGCGAAGAAGCCCCCGAATTTGAGTGCAGCCCTGCAAGTTGAGCAGCAGCTTATGCGGCTTCCCTTTGAGGGTTTCAAGAAGCAGGTGCGGGTCAATAACAGGGTTGTGGAGAAGGAGATGAATGCCGTGGTTGCAGGGGTGGCGGAAGCGTCCTCCAAGAGCTTGAGTCAGGACGAGGCGGTGCGGCAATTGCGGGGATTGGTGTCGAGGCTTCAAGGCTTGAAGCGCAAGGTATACTGTCTTGAACTTCTGACCAAGGGATTCTGCAATCGCTGGGAGGCAAAAGACCGAAGAACATGAAGCGGGACAGAGTAGAAGATAAGGAGTTAGCCGAGGCACAGTTGGAGCAGTGTACAATCATCACATTGCGTGTTGAGGAGTACCTTTGTCCTGGCCAAGCGGGGTTTGTACTCTTCTTGTATGGAACAAAATGCATGTTTATACTCTGGCTGCCGCGTACCACTTCCGCCCTGGTCACTGCCAAATCTTAGGTACTTTTGATGAAACCTTGTAATGCTAATGCATGGAAGGTTTATTTACTTGCAGCCATGCTGGTCCCATGAAGATTCGAGTTGTTTTTAAATGACTGCTGACCCCTTGTTTCTCATGTCTAAGTGATTGTAGGAGTAATGCAGCTAGACGGTTGAACTTTTGAGCCATTGCAATGTCCAGGACAAGTCAAGGAGCTCTTGTCAAATAAGTAAAGGGACTCTTTGAGGATTCACCTCCTTTTGAATTCAAGGACAGTGGTGTTCTCAATGCGCCCTGGTGGACGGAGGGCATGCTGAGAAGCAGATCTGCACAGATGGTGAGGCGGGAGGTCATTGGAGACATGTAAAGCGCAAGGCTTTCGTTTCAAAGTCAAGGAAATTGACGAAGTTGAGAACTCCGAGACACCTAACAAGGTTATCAAGACCAATCAGCCATACCGCTTTTGTATAAAATCTTTCTGTCGCTTGGTTGCAGCTGGACGAGGGGAATGCACTGGAGCAGAGCCAGGCTCAGCGGTGTCGAGCGCGGATTGAGCATCTCAGCCTGAACCTAGGGGACAAAGACTCTCAGCGGAGGTGGGAGACGGCGAGGGTGGATCGTATTCTGGTGGACTACATGCTGCGGAACTCGTACTATGACACAGCGGTCAAGTACGCAGAGGCCACAAGGATTCAGGTACGACTATTGGCCATAGGACTTCCAAGTTTTCTGATTCTATTGTGGGACGGATATCAAAGAAAGAAATGTCCGCTGCCAAGTTTTCGCATGCTCGATTTTGTGAGATGTTGTTTCGTACAGATTCAGGTTGCAAGGTTGCAAATAACTGGCCATCTCCTGTGCATGGGTGTTCAACTTTGTAATCCATCCTGCTGTGACTGCGAGGGGGTCAGCCTGATTTATGGCGCCTCACCCTCGTGGGGGCGTCAGGAGGGGATGCTCCTCATTTCATATGTTGTCTAGCACCAGGATGATCAGCAAAGAGCCCATACTACATCTCTCAGACATGGGTGACGGGCCTACATGCTTTTCTAGACATACTTCATTCTCAAGGTGCCTCACAGAGAGAATTGTGCGGTAATATGGTCAGCATTACTCTTCAGAAAGGCCTTTGGCCAACCCACCCTTTGGACCATGAGTGTTGACTTGTTGTTGCTTGCAGGAGTTGGTCGATGTGGATGTTTTTAGAGACGCCAAGCGCGTCATAGACGCCCTGCGGCGCGGGGACTGCTCGGAGGCTCTTGCATGGTGCGCAGAGAACCGGAAGGCTTTGAAGAAGAGCAAGGTGAAAGACCCGAAACGCCTTTGCCAGTTCTTTGTGTGGTTCTGTTTAACCTTTCCCAACATAAGCACTTTCGTCAAAAGTGACCGTTCCTAGAGTGTGCATACGTATAGATGTGAATCTTTACTTTGTGACCACTCGGCAATAATGATACAAGCTGGACTCTCATACATCCAGACCAGCTTCGATTTGCAGTGCGCATGCTCTTATAGTCATCCTTGGAATGGAAGCTTCGTTCAATCATCTGTTCAACTTGGCTGCACCTTTGTCTTTCCATTTCAAGATTATCCGTTTCTTACTTCGCATCATGGTTATTTGCTGCCTGCAAACAACCCCCAAGTAGCCGCTGACCTCAGTTTCTAGTGCAATCACCAAATTCCCGTCACCAGATTCTGAACGAATTCCCCTCCTGCTGATCATGGGGCAGCTTGTGCAACCAGTAGCGACTTTCTTGTCCAAGTCTCAGTTTGGTCGTGAGTGTATTTCGTTTCCGAGAACTCACTCTTGTGCGAATGATGTGAGCATTTCTGGACCCGTCCGGTCAATTGAGTCAATCCGCTAACTGAAATTGTTACACCCCTTTTCTGCAGAGCAAGCTGGAGTTCCAGCTGCGATTGCAGGAGTTCATCGAACTAGTGCGGGGGGAAAAGATGGTGGAGGCGATCAAGTATGCACGCAAATACCTGGCGCCCTGGGGCCAGTCGCACATGAAGGAGCTGCAGCAGGCGATGGCCACACTTGCATTCAAGAAGGACACCGACTGCCCCTCCTACCGGGTAGGCTTTGGAAACGGTATTCCTTGCAGCTGTGGAATTTGTTGGCACTTGATGTTTGCAACACGTTGTGGAAGATCTGAATTGTTGCATGTTGAGACGGATACTTAGTGTCCATGTAATTGGGAAAACCTTTTTGGAAAGCTCATCTTGAAAGGTTGTCAGCGATTGATCGTGAGCTGCGTGCAGATTCGTCAAATCCGTCACTTACTCTACTAATTTCGTCACCGTTTCTTTCATCCTCTCTGGTTTGAGCGTGTCCTTCTTGAAGTGCTCTCAAGCTACTTTTTTAGCGAGTATCCCCGCCGGTCGACTTGACACCCTTGCAATCCGCAAGTTGGACTGTCTTTCAGAAGGAATGTCGCTTTTTTCGAAGGGGGAAGCACTTTAAATCAACAGAGTTTGTCAATATCCCTTGAAAACCAGTTTCGGGGCGCTTTGGATGATGTGCCAGTGCAAAGGCCTCGGTCCGCCCAAGCTGCCATGCTCAGATGCGGAGTAAATTGGATTGATACCTGGTCGTTTCGAGCTGACGAGGCCCGATGATGAAGAAGCGCTTTAAGCAGATGGAGCAGCAGACCCTGTTGCGGTGACATCAAACCCAAGCTTCTACTGCCTTCCTTCTGAGAGCCAATCGTCCCAAGATTCTTTGCTTCGGTCCTCTTCTTTCTCAGCCTGAATCTTCGGAATCCGAATGCTTGAAGAACTCGTTTTGGTTCACTCGACAAACAGGCGCCCAGCCCGCAAGGCCGATGATGCTCTAACAAGCATATATCTGAGTGGCTTAGCCACGATAATGAAACTTTTAACTGAGGCCTTGCGTGCCGTTCGTCGCTTGGTTCGGGCTGACACACCCGTGTGCCTGCAAAGAAGTCGCGAGAAGCTCGAAAAGCTTTCTGAGAGACGATGCTTGTGATCGTTTGAAAGATGTTTTTTGGCGCAATACCGGGTTCGGTCCGCCAGCCCGGCGTTGAAAGTCGTCATCGTTTCTTGGTTTTTGCCTTCGGTTGACCCCAGACTGTTTCGAATCGCTGTCTCCTGTCACGTATTCAAGCGCCCTTCCATCTCTTCTTTGTCGGCTCATCCTGGCGGATGTCAACCTCATTCTTTCTTCTGCACCGTTTGACTGCCGGGCTCCTTGTACGGCCTTCAGCCAATCCCTGTCTGCATCCCTTGATTCGTTCAGAGAGTCTGCTCTTTCTTCCTTAAGCTGTAATCATCTTCAAGCCTCCCTCTGGAAAGGTTCCGCTCAATACCGCACTCCTTTCTCCCATTCGCCTTTCGTGAAGCTTTTCTTCTTCGCCCACCAGTTCTTCACCCCGGTTTGGAATACCCCGCTTCTTACAATACCTCAGAGCTTACCTTGTCCTGTGCTCCTGCCAGGTGCTCTTTGACTGCGGCCAGTGGGACCGGCTGATCGACGAGTTCAAGCGCGAGAACTACAAGCTCAACTGCATGACGCCAGACTCGCTGCTCAGCATCCACCTGCGGGCCGGCCTCTCCGCGCTCAAAACGCCGTGAGTGTCTGCGTAACTTCTCACCCCCGCAGAGCTTTGTGAATGACTTTGCGGTGTCTGATGCAATTGAGGTTTGAATCATCGAGGGAGCACCTCAAGTAATGACGGGAGCGATCGTTGGCAGTGAGGATGCCATTACGGCCGGTTGGTCAAGGATTCGTTGTGTTGGACCCCGATGCCATTTTCCCTGACGTGGCTATCCGGCTTCCTGGCAAAGGCCATGTAAGAGAAGCAACTCTAGTTCTCACTGACGATCTTTGATTGTTCGTTCTGATCTTGACCATTTGGGTGTTGCTTGATGCAAGTATTCTGGTCGGACACTCGTGGCCAAACTTTTCTATGTGCTGGACTCCTGGTTGTTGTCGTGAAAGTTCAAACAAGCACTTGTACTCCGCAGCTTGCTGTGCAAAAAGCAAACGTTGATTGCGTTGATTTAGCAAGGCTTCTAAGCTAGTGGACAGCCGCGGCCCATGCACTCCCTTATAATGCTGAAGTCTCCAGAAAGCGATGCTCTCCTCTTGTGCCTCCGTTTCTTGCAACCACACCGTATCGAGGCTGTGCTTTCAGTTTTGCAAGTTCGACACCGGTCCAATGCCCGGCTGTGAAACAGATTACTCACGTTTTACTCTTGTGAATGTCAAGAGTATTCGAGCCTGTTACCTTGGTCGAAGTTTTTCACGTCACATTCCAACACAGATGTTTGACTCAAGATATACATCTGGTCTCCGTTGATGACGAGCCGGTTTGTTGTTTGCGATCTGTGCGAGAGCATCGGCGCTTCCTACTGACTGCAGTTGTCACTTGGGTGGCAATGAGGTGCCGCTTACTTGGGCTGGTTCGCTTCAGCTCATGGAGAAACCCGTGTCACAGCTGATGCCACCATCTGCGGTGCTTTTTGACAGAATAACAGGAACTTGTCCACCAGTCTGCATGTGCCTTTTGTCCTTGCTCAGAGGAGTCGTCAAGAGCAGTCTGCAACTGCTCCCCTGCCTCATCTCTCATTAGCTATTCGTGTACGCTCTAACCAGATTGACAACATGATACGGATTGACATCACCTGCTGCCGAGTCTCTGCTTCGTATCAGGGCTTAGGGCCCCCAGTGTGATTAGGGCGGTCGATCACAGTGGGAATCTGACTTTCGTTGGCCGATTTAGTTGGTTTGGTGGTTGTCAGATTCTCGATGCTCAGCACGGTCTGCAATCATCATTTCCTTTGACATCCCGACTCACCACTCCTCAAGAGTCGGGATCGAATGCATGCCCGATGTCATTCTTGCTTGAACCAAGTGGTTTTGGTTAGCCAAAAGGTTTGATTGGTTCAGGGTTTTTGGAAACCCTTGTATGGCATAACGCACTCAATGGTGTGGAATCTTCCTGGCAGTGACGATGTGTCGCTTGGGCCGATGCAGCCCAAAGGGTCATCCACGAAATCCGATGTCAGTACAAGCTTTGGAAAGCTGTTATGTTTAGAGTTCTGATCCTTCTCAATAGGAGCACAAAGTGAGGGATATACTGTGCCTTGAGTGTATCGCGCCTCTTCGTTGACGCGCTGTATTCCTGCTTGCTAGCAACGAAAGAGCGAATTTTAAGCCTTGAAGAGCACACTGAACGAGTCTTGTCTGGAGATTGATGCCACATCTTTAACGCATCCTTGAAGAAGCATCTCTGTGTGGCTGGGGCTGGAATTTGCCGGCCGTTGCTTTTGTCAATCAAGGCTTTCAGGCGGATTCGCTGGCTACACAGTGCGTAGTAGCTGTCGCCCGCATACTTCCAAGCGCATCCATTGGTGCCCGTTCGAGTCCTTAAAGTCTCCGTTGTTCTGCCTCTCAGCCGAAGTATACAAGTTTCTCCCCACAGCTTTGGAAAGCTTTCCTTGCAAGCTGCCGTAGGTCAATAACGACCCGGCCCTTCCAGTCTTCGATGCCAGGGTGTTTTCGAACGAAGCACTCCATATTGCTCAATGAGTAACACTCAAAAACCTAGAAGGAGGACATGTGCATAACCTGCCTAAACCTTTTCGTCCTATCGTACGAGTATGAGCTCCAAGCGGGGGGTGTTTGAGTCCATCTTAGTTGGACTCTCGCAAGCGGGGCTTATACCATTTCCTCCCAACGTTTTGCTTTCTGGGTGCACCGGAAAAAAATCCAAGTGGGCAGCATTTGTTTAATCTGGATCCGGATAAAGCAGGGCTGACAGACTGCTCAAGCGTATTCTGTCAAGCATGATGGTACAGCTGATAATTTGCGCATGCGCCCCTGATATCTTCAAAAGCAACCCTCAAGCCAGGAAAGGAAGATGGCAAGGAGGACCTTCTCGCTAAGTCGATGCGGCTCCTTGGCCCTGTCCTTCTGACTGACGCCATCCCACCTACTTTCCGGCATTAAGGACGTCTTTCGTGGCAGAGAATGATTCGACTCGGTCATCTCAATCTCTCTATCCTTTTAAAGGGATAGCTGGCGTCATGCTTCCCCAGAAGTTCTGGCGGCAAAAAGAATCTGTTTCTGCTCTCGTTCTTCGCCCAACTCTTGGATCGTACCAGATTGCCCTTCTCTGTTATTCTACCTCTTGAACCTGCCAAAGCAAAGACCGTTTTCTGCTCGTTAACCCTCTTCCGCTTTGACTACTCTTAGCACGCCCCGTCCGCCCCCTGCAGGTTCTGCTACGAGGAGGGGTGCAGCAAGGAGGACCCGCTGTCGCAGGCATCATTCCGCGCGCTCGCGGAGGGCCTCCCGTTCAGCAAGCAGACGCACAGCAAGCTCGTCTGTTCCATCACACATGACGTCATGGACGCCGACAACCCGCCGCTCGTGCTCCCCAACGGTTGCCTCTACTCCAGAAGGGTGAGGGCGACAAGAAATTCTGAGCGTCATGCGAATTGTTGCGCTCTGATTATGACTTAAATTTCAAAGCTCTTTCCTTCGTCGTCTTGCTCAGCATCTTAGCTCAACCCCGCGTTGCCGCCCGCTTATTGAGCTGTGGATAACGAATGTCGCCCCCGATGTCTTGCCCTTTCCGATTTGCTTTTCTGCTTTTCCCTCGTTTCCTTTTGCTGCTTTTGACTTTTCAGTCGTACATCTGTCAGACGAGATGTAAGGTCGGTTACGCCTGAGCATTCTGATGTACTGTTGCATTACAGCTGTAGGAGGACCGTCGGTGGATAGACAGAGAAGACCTTCCGTTTCCTGATTGCTGCTACCGACTTGCTGTTCCTCGCACAATTGTTCCTGCGGTCCGCCCTTCCCTCTTCTTCAAGCATGCTTAAGTGGCGCTTTCACGGTTGGCGTCATTCAGCGGCTTCTTTGGTGTGTGAGATTCTGGCAGCGATGGTTAAGCGTCCTCCCTCTCCCTCGATGAACAAGACGCGTCTTCATCAGCTCTGGTCCTAGTCATTTAATCTGTGGGAGTACGCATTGGGGAGCTCTTTATCAGCAATTGCTGTTCCCAGAGCTTTATTGAAATATGTCGATGCAAGTGGACACGGTGCTCATGATTCCAGGCGTTTTTTCAACAGTCCGGGGCCACTCACGGATTCTTCAGATTGCGCCCCTTGAATCGAATAGAAGCGAGTTTCACTCCGTATCCCGTTCAATCCTTTTGGCGCTTCTCTATATCAGCAGTCAGCTCAGCAAAAAGTGTCATCTTTGCAGGCGATGGAAGCGATGGCGGAGAAGCACCACGGCGAGATCACGTGTCCGAAGACGGGCTTCAAGTGCGATTTCAGCGACCTGTCCAAGGCGTACATTTCTTAAGGTTGCTTTGCTGTTGAAACCCACTTGTACACATAATAGAAAAAACATTGCAAGCAGTCCTACACACTGTACAGTATTGGCACAAAGCTCTTGAAGTTCCCTTGCTCTCCGTCTGCGCTGTTCCCACACATCGATTTGTATTGTTGCCACTTGCGGAAGAAACAGTTTCGCATTGCAACGCTTTGCTGCAAGAGAGATCTGGTCCGTTCTGTACAGTTGACTTGAGCGCGCGACGGTCCTTTTTGCAACAATCTGGCTTGCACATTCAACAACAATCTCTTCAAGTTGAAGGTTTGTCCGTGGGCTCGAGTCCTTATCTGGAGATCGCCACGTGGCAGAGAGCTCTGCAAATTTTCCCCGTTTGGGCTGCATCTTGGTCACTCTGCTCAGAGAAGCACTGAAGTCAGGCGAGGTCTGGAGCCACCGCAGTCTCGAGCCAAATGTTGCGGAAGCTGTCTTTCGCTCACCGTTCGTGCAATCCGACGAGTAAGTTCATTGCTTGTAGTTCGTGTATACCATTCTTCTGAGCTTTTCTTTTGTTTACAAGAGAGGGTGCTTTTGAGCATTGAGTGAATTCCATGCATACAATGTTGCTCCTGGTTTCCCAACGTGCTTTGGCAATGATGCACTCTCGCAAAGTTGGCTATTACAGCCACATGTATTCGTTTAGCTGATGCTATTCCCGAATGTCTGAAAGGTTTTCTTGCCTCTGCGTTGGTTTCTGTACAGTACACAGTACGTCTGTTTCTTGCATCATCAGTCTGTCCGCTCTGTTTGCAAATGTCAACCCGCGAGTCTTTTTGTATCCCCATCCCCGACTAAGGTCTTCTGATACGTTGTGCTCGCTTCGGTCGCAAGTAGGCCCAGAGCTGACCTAATCCCGTCTGTACTTGTCTGCTTGATGGCTGGTCGCTTTCTCGTTCGCATCCTTCTTGCATCTCCGCGAAGATAGGCCTCTGTGTACTCAAATGGCTGGGCATGTGTCCTGCGGAAGACAAGGTTTACATGGAAAAGTCCGGTCCAATTCGCAAATGCACTGCGCCAGTGGGGTTGGAGTACACACGATCTATTACGTTGGTTGACGTTTTATGCGCTGTCAGTCTATGGGACTGCGTTTTAAGTTCAGTGTTTCTGTGTTGCACTTCTGTCTTCTTTTATGGCAACGAGGGTTGTCGCTGCTCAGGCTGGTAGATTGACCAGCTCGGCTTTCGCACAGATTTGCGGGACCCGATGCCTGGCACTGTGAGAGCTCTGTTCCCACCCTCGACCTCCATATCATCTTCATGTTGTCTACAATCTCTAGACGTGCCTTTACTGCACCTACCCGGAATCCACGTCATCAGATTCACTGACACTGTTGATATTTAAACATTGCATTTGAAGAGAGCCTCGTATGTCCTTTAACTGCTGCCCTGCAAAGAGATTAGCTGTCCAAGTTTCTCGTTGTCTAGTTCCACCTGACATTCCGGAGGTCACGGCGTGATTCCTGGCGTGCTTGGACGACGCTTCGGTATGAATCGTCTTCTTTTGGTTTGCTCAGATTCTTAGTGGGCTGGGTCGGCTCATGACGCTCTCTCTCCTCCCTCGGTACGTGTTCCGTTTCATACTCCTAATCGGCATGGCTTTCAAACTGAGGTCCCAGTATTTTAACCAAGAAACACCGTGCTGAGTACCTCCTCTTGATGCCTGATCAGGGCGGCTCATACACAAACCAGATAATAACCGGACCGGAGGCACCTTGTCCCTGAACACAGAGCTGAATCGAATCAGTTGAGTAGATCTGCAGCGGGACGTACTAGGTTTCATACCGCTCCCTCCTGAAGGAGACCCTGCAACCGTGCATGGCAAGAGATCGTCACGGACTGCTTCCGTGTTTCCCTGCAAGACGTGTTGGGACAGACGGGCTGGTACTTTGCGGCTTGCTGAAGACGACCGGAAGGGGGTCTTCATACTTTGGGTTTTTCAGTTCACTCACGTCGTCAAGGCTCGTGATATAAACAGGTGCTCAGATAGGAAGAGGAGATCCCTCGGTGGCAATGAACGTTTGTATTCCCCGGGCTACTTTACCAAGGCTCAGGAGATGGGTAGCCGTGTCTGATGCCACAGCCGGTTCCAAGTGTCAATTGCCTGTGATCAATTGCCTGCAATCTGCGGTCCTCTTGTGTCGAATCTCTATTTAAGTCAACTGCTTTGCCGCCATCTTTTCACCGGGTAGCTCAAGTCATAGCCTGGGCATCCCGCGTTCTAGATTGTTGAGTTGCAACCACCCCCCTTCTTCCTGACAATTTGAACGTTGTTGGCAAAGCGGGCCTTGAAAGCTAGCATGCAGCTCAGGCTTAATATTCAGACTTTTCAACCAGGGGCGTCACGTCCACACCCCCGGTACTTTTCAGATCTGTTTTGCATCTGGCCGGAACGGTCAAATGAGACCAGAAAAGCGATAGGGACATTGTTGCGGCGGTGACGAACCTCGCTTTGGGCTCGCTGCTCAGGGCCACTTGAATACTCTTCGGATCCCGACGCCGCTTCCACTTTTTCGAAAACATGCTCACGACGTATTAAATGATCACCAACCTCTCGACCCGCTCCTTCCCTATGCATGCGGGCCTCTCTGATTACTTGATTCACAAAATTGGCTTCTCGAATCGGCTTCTCGAATGGGTCGAGTACGACTGGTACTGGTACATGAGACGTCCATCCAGAATCTGCGAATCCGATGTCAACCGTCAGCATCATTGTTGACAGCTTTCTCGGTTGTTTCCGACCTACTAGGCCCTTTTAAATGTAAAAAAGGACCTTTGCGTTCTCGAACAAGTTTACAAAGGTTCTCACCGTGCATACCAAAGTATCATGGCATTAGAGCCGCCCTTTGTCGCTCCTGTTTGCACCTGCAACCGCTCTGCCATGATCATTCAGTAGACTCATCTTTCACCGGTTTCATGCTCTCTTCTGCTGATTATCGCGCTGATCCGGGCCAGCTGTTGGCTCTGGAATGGGTGCATCATTGTTTGTGGTGCTTAGATGAACATGGTATGGCATTGAGGAGGCCTCTTTCGGGCTGTCGGAAGCAGCTCATTTGTAGCTCACCCCTGTTCCTCTGACGCCATCTTCGAGTTGGCACGTTCGCTGGCATTATTCTCGGCACAGATTTGACGATCAGGCCGCAAAGGCTGGAACGTTCTTTCCCTTTGTGGCCGAAGTTCGTTACGTGAAGCCATCATGTTCTGGTTGGTTGGGTTCCTCGATAGGTTGGCTCCTAAGGCTTGTGGTCGTTCCAGATCTACACCTCTGACGTGGCTGCAGGAGAGTCTGAGTCTACATGCTTACTTTAATACCGCAAAACTTAGGGGCCGATATGCGTAGACTATTTCTGCGCGTATCGGTCGTCCACAAACAGCGCAACCTGCTCCTAAGGTTGTGGCAATGAGGACTCCGTTTCTGGGCTTAGGTTTGGCCCAAGCTGCTACGCAAACATCCTGACGCCACCTAAGCAATCAAGTTTTGTTTTGAATGGATTTTGGGGCCAGCTACGTTGGCTACTCCACTTTCCTGCCAACACTTTAATTGTCTCAATAAAGTTTGATGTTTTCTTTGACGAAGCCGGGTGCGCATGTGGTCGATGTTTCTCAGATTAGAATACCCGGTAGTCCTTGGCTCAAGTGCTTGGTTTGGCAGCAAACAGTTTTTCGTGATCGCCCATTTGAGCTGTATGTTCCGTTGCTTAGATCAAGAGAAGCACTGAAGGCGAGGCAGGTTGAATCCCAAACTATCTTGAAGCCGGCTGATGCCGGTTGCTATCTTTTGTTCGCGTTTTGCACATCGGGAATACGTGAATCATTTGCTTTTACTTCGTGTGGCGTTTTTTCGTGGCTTTTCCGGTGGATTTGTTAAAGAGAAAAGCTATGGGAATTGGGTATCAAGCGGCTGTTTTTGTGATCCCCGACCTTGCTTGTGATTGAGGCACTCGATCCCGCGTGGCTGGTTTGGCCACTGCGATTTGCAGCATCTGATGCCCATGCCAATGCCAGGCCGTTTTTCAAGAACTTTTTAGCTTATGCGGTATTTGTGACGGTACTTGATACGCCCATTGTTTACACTAGGTGTATGCCCTTGTGAAACTTTATGTGAAAGTGAAGTCGTTGAATCTACTTTCTGGAAGTATCCCGATCATCGTGAAGATCCGACTCCTCCTATCTTTGTTCGAAAATAGATCCGCAACTGGCCTGTTTAAGCTGCTAACGGTGAGTACTGTTCTGCTTGATGGCTGGTCGCTTTTCCGTTGCGTCTTGAATTCATCCAGGTAGAAATAGGCCTCGCTTTGCGCAAAAGTCTCAGGCGGTTTCCTACGGAGAGGAAGGTTTGATTTTGTTCTCTAGAGCGCTGCGCTTTCAGTGGAACCCGAAGTACACACCAGCTCTGCCATTTTGAGTGTCCTGAAAAGCTTCTTACGCCTCGCTGTTTGGTGAGATTGCGTTTCTCATTTCAAAAGCTCTCTTTCATTGGCAAGGACGATAGTTCCTGCTAAGGCTAGCCGGTAGACGTGTCCAGCCCGCGTTTTATCATCGAAGCAGGACCCGATGCCTGAAACATACCGATTTTGTGGTCTCCTCTCAGTTTCCCTTGTTTCAATCTTGATCAGTGGAACAAATTTTAAGGCACCTGTATTGTTTTCTTGACTCCCCGACTTCTGTACTGACATTGCTGGCCTGCATACATCACTTTCCAAAAAGCAGCTCTTTCCTTCCCTTCACGACTGCCATGCGAAGAGGTCCGCTGTATCAATAGCCGTCGTTATTGACGTTTTTGCATGTGTGTCCGAAAATCTTCGACGACTCTTTCATTTGAGGTGATGTTCTCCTCGAGTGCGGCACCATATTCCTGACTCGGCATGCTTTATGGACCTTCAATGTCACTTTTGCGCCCAAGACAGACGAGGCACTCACGTCCTTGAGGCCTATTCAGAACGGGTCAGTAGCAAAACCTACGTGGGATCATCTGATCCGATTAAGGAATTTCGTAGATATACCCGCGGCCGCCTTTTCCAAATAAGCGAAAGCTGGATCTTGTGTAGGCGAGGGAACTTGCAAGAAAGCGCAGGCTTCATTCTACCCCGACGGTCTTTAGCTATTTGAAGCGTGCAATTAGCGCAGGAGGTGAAAAGGTCGCGGACTCCTTTCCAATTTGCCTGCAAGAAGTCGAGATGCT